TCAGTAGCATGCTGGGCTCTCAGAGAGGGATGGAGGAATTGAACCTGGGTTGGCCACGTGCAAGGCAAATGCCCTACCTGCTGTGCTATTGCTCCAGCACTGGAATCCTATACAGCTTGAAGATGAATTCCAACCTTTTGATACACTTGGATGGACAATATAGGATGTCATGGACTTTTGGTTTGGTTTTATTTTGTGCTCCGAGGATCAGTCCAGGAAGTGTTCAAAGTTGCCACATGCAAGACAAGTGCCTTTGTTCCTCGTCTAGACTTTCATTTGGAGGGGCCACACCCAACAGTGCTAGGGGCTATTCCTAGCTTGGTGCTTGAGGGATCAATCCCAGTGGTGTTTGGGGGAATCATGTGGTGCCAACTCTGGAATCTGGAGCTCCTGCATGCAAAGCCTTGCACTCCAGGGCATTGAGATGTCTCCCCAGTTCCATAGAGAGCACAGAGGGCAGCACAATGTGTTAACTTGCCTATTATAAGTAAACGTTAAAAATTATCGCCCCCAAAATTATCCCCCAAATTTTGAGAATGTTTTTACACACATCATTTTAAAAAATTGATTGTATGCCATAGCCTCACAAATAGGGTGACTGCATTGCCAGGTATGACCAAAAAGCAAAAAAATAAAATAAAAAATAGAAATCAGTGTAGAAAAATAGTTCACTGTCACTGTCCTCCCATTGTTCATCAATTTGCGTGAGTGGGCCAAGTAGCATTATGAGACTTGTTACTGTGTTTGGCATAGCGAATACGTCACAGGTAGCTTGCCAGGCTTTGCCATGCGGGCAAGATACTCTGATAGCTTGCCGGGCTCTCTGAGAGGGGCGGAGGAATCAAACTCAGGTTGGCCATGTTGGCTGCATGCAAGGCAAACGCCTTACCCACCATGCAATCGCTCCAGTCCAGAAAAATAGTTAAGGGAGAAAAATACATGTTTGGATTTTTTTTTTTGGATTTTTTTTTAATGTAGGAATACTCCTATTTATTCAGCCACTGATTAGCTGATTAAATTGGGCATGGACTCCACCTTACTTTTTTTTCATTTTTTATCATTTTATTTATTGAATCACCATAAGAGCAGTTACAAAGCTTTCGGGTTTAAGTCTCAGTCATACAATGAAACACTTGTACCTTCACCAGTGCCCATTCTCCACACCCCAAAACCCCAGTATACTCCCATCCCACACCCTCCCCCTACCTGTGAGGCAGATGATTTCCACATTACTCTCTCTCTACTTTGATTCCATTCAATATTTTGACACTGGAACCACCATTATTATTTGGGATTTTACCCCAACACTCAGATCTGCTGAAAAGGCAACAGTAGACAATTTGTTTTCTATTGCTGGTTATGAATAACATATGATGTCGCGTGGCTGCAGTAGTGGCTGCGTGATTTTGAAATTCTGAAATTTTAACAACTAAATCTGGAGGGATTTCTTCCAAAACCTGCTAGGTTCCGAGATTTGTTCCTGAGTCTCTTGGATCATGGCTGTTAAGCAGCTTGATCAGGAGCCAGAAAGGCCATTCATGGGCGGCGACTCGGGGTCTCGTTGGGGTGGGGAGAAAAGGGCCGGCTCCACCCCCATCCCATGAGGCCCCGCATGTCTCATCACTGAGGGCACAAACCTGACTGTTCAATGGCCTCTGGAGGATGGTGGCCACCGAGCTGCCAAGGGGGAGCAGGTGGAGGGACAGCACCCTTTTCCCCCTGGGGTGACCTGGCGTCAGTAACCCACTGCGTGGTCCAGACGCATTTCTGCCAAAAGTCGCTGGGTTTTGAGATTTGTTTCTGAGTCTCTGGGATCATGGCCGTTAAGCAGCTTGATCAGGAGCCAGACAGGCCGTTCGTGGGCGGCGACTCAGGGTCTCATTGGGACTGGGAGGAAAAAGCCGGCTTCACCCCCATCCCATGAGGCCCCAGGTGTCTCGTCACTGTGGGCCCAAACCTGACTGTCTAGTGGCCTTTGGAGGATGGCGGCCATGAGGCCGCCATGGGGAACAGGTCAAGGCACAAAACCTATTCCCACCTGGGTGGCCCACCGCCTGTAACCTACTGCAGGGACTGGATGCATTTCTGCCAAAAGCTGCTAGGTTTTGAGATTTGTTTCTGAGTCTCTGGGATCATGGCCATTAAGCAGTTTGATCAGGAACCAGAGAGGCTATCCCTCCAATTATATACTGAGACGGAGGTGGTTTGTGGGTGTGTCTCCCACATACCTAACTTTTGGCCGTTTACTTTCTTGGTAAACTTTGCCCCAAGTTTCTTGGGGGGGTCTGGCCAATGGCACAGCAGCTGGAAATTTTTTTAATATGCTCCCCCCCCCCTTGGCTATCTCCTTGGCTCTCATTTCTTATTTAAAAAATTTTATTTATTTTGATTTTGGGACCACACCTCATGATGTTCAGGGGTTACTCCTTGCTCTATACTCAGGAATTACTGCTGGTAGTGCTGAGGGACTGTAAGGGATCCTGGGGACCAAACCCAGGTCAGCTGTGTGTCAAATAAATGCTCTATCTGCTGTACTATTGCTACGGCCCCCTATTTTATTTATTCTTTATTTTTTATTAATCTACCACGCATTACTAAGTTATTCATGATTGGGTTTCAGCCCGACAGTGTTTCAACACCCAACCCTTCACCAATGTCCATTTCCCCCCACCCTTGTTTTGTTCTTGTGGGGACCACACCTCATAGTGCTTGGGGGCCTGGGGCCACTCCTACCCAGGGTCCATGTGGCACAGAAAATTAAACCCAGACATGTGCCTTCCTTGCCATGTGATCTACTACTTGAGTCTTCTCCCAGCTCTGGGTCTTCTCTCTGCATGGTGCTTGGGGGTCATTCCTGATAGTGCTTAAGCTCCTGCATACAAAGCATACTCTGAACCTGTGATCCATTTTGTTTGTTTTGGGGGACCACACCCAGGAGTGCTCAAGGCTTAATCCTGGTGGTGCTCCAGGACTATATTCTGAACCAGGGATCAAACCATGGTCAGACAAGCTTTGCCTCTTTTCTATCTCTCCAGCCCCTGTAACCTATTTGTAATATAAAGCATAATGAATCCATTGAAATTAATTGGCATAATATACATTGAAAAGTAAACACTGATCATCTCAGATGTTTTTTATTTCCAAGTGATACTTTTCTGTACTGTTTTAATATTGTGAAGTAAACTCATTTTATTTTTTGTACACCCAGTCATACTCAGGAATTACTCTGGGCTCTGTGCTCAGGGATCACTCCTGGAAGGATTAGGGGATCATATCAATTGCCAGGAACCAGGTTGGTTGCATACAAGGCAAACACTGTGCCTGCTTTACTAACACTCTAGTTCCTATATTTCAATTTGCTTTTTAAAAATGATAAGGGGCACATTGGTACTGTGGGGGTCAACAGTGCAAAAGACAATGCCAGGGATCAAACTTAGGGCCTCACACATGCAAAGCATGCATTGAAGCTCTCCCCTGGCCTCAAAGATAATTTTCTATGTGTTTTAAAAGAAGAATAATAACTCTGGAAAGAGGGACTTTCTCCTTATTTTTGCAAGCTGGAAAGAGTTCCCAGATCGTGTCAGGGAATTTGAAGGCAGCAAGTTCAGAGTGTTAAGGGTTCTGTGGACTCGGATCCTTTTCATGGCAGAGTGAGTGGGGCCTGGTTCAGTCCTGCTTCCTTACCAGCCCTTCTTAACCACTAGCCAACCTGCTTATTCCCTGCCCCTCTCCACCCTGGGTTCAGGAGGATGACTGAGGTCTTGGCCAGCTGCCCATCAGTCCTCTCCCATGTTCCAGATTCCCAGCTTCCTGAGCATCTGGCAGTAAGTCAGTGATGTCCCGACTTCTTCAGCCAACCCCTGTGAACTGAGCAGACGTGATGTGGTCAGAGCAAGATCTGGGGAGTTTACAGGGCAAAGAGAAGCAGAACAGTGAGCGCACCAGGTTGTGAAAGTCAGGGAGATCTTGTTCTGGGCCAGCTGATCTGTTCTTCTTTGAGCCCCATAAGTATAACCCACTACCAATGGCTTCTCCAAGTCCCTTCTATATAGCTCACTACCAATGGTGGTGGTTCTATTGATAGTAATTACAATGTGGATTACCACATAGGTGGATACCAGTGGCAGTGGGTACCCGTGGGTTACTGGCTTCTTCAAACCACATACGTTTAAGTGGGTTACCAATGGTGGTGGTTACCAATGGCAGTGAGTACCAGTGGGTTATTGGCTTCTTTAAAACCCATAAGTATAACCCACTACCAAAGGTGAGGTTCTCCTGGCCTTGGAGAAGGAGGAGAGCATTTTCCCAACGAGTTCAGCTAACCAATCCAAGGGAAATAACTCCAGGCCTTTGCACACTGCACCCTCTGTCCTACCATCTTCCCTCCAGGAAGTTTCCCCTTCTATCCCCCTTCCCCACTCTGTAAGAAGGGCTGGGCCCGTGCGCCCCTGGCCAGTCCTCTAGCACTATCTTTGTTTATTTGTCTTCTCACTGGAATTTAACCTTCCTGAGGTCAGACACCAGGATCCGCTTATCACTGAAACTCTTAAGTATCTAGATAACTCCATGTAGGCACTCAAAACTGATGAGTGCATGGATAAAACAGAGGGCTGCCAGAGAGCAAGTGACAGTCCCTCCACTACCTGGAGTGCGCTCCTTGGGAGGAGGAGCCTCTGGCGGGTTATCCCGTCCCCACGCCTAGCCCCACGTCCAGTTCAGTGTGAGCTTGAGCTCCCTCTGCCGACCAGACATCAGTGTCGCAGGTGTCGCGCCCCCGGGCATCCTTCCTTGCTCCCTTCACTCTGGAGAAACTTTTAGGTCCTACCCCTAACTCTCACCCCCACCACTGCCACTCTGGGGTTCGTGAGGGACTGGAACACGAAGAGAAATAGGGGTTAGCAAATTGGACATTTCCAAGGTCTTCACCCCTCCCCCATCCCAACGTCCCATCCTCAAAGGCAGGTTCTCGCCCCCTCACCTCATGCTCATTTTTCTGCAGGCTCCACTCCCCAAGTCCCAATCAGCTAATTCACAGAGATGTTGATTTCCGGAGTCTTTGGCTGATATATCAGCTCTGACTGTAAAACAGATCCGGAGACGAAGTGGGAATGCGCAGAGAGAAAGGGACCCAGAGAGCAAACATGGTAAGGGAAAAAATCTTAAAGATAGACTATGCATGGGCGGGTAGGGCATTTGACATGCAACATGCATGTCATTAAATTGTAGAGTTCATGCCTTGCGTGCTCTTGGATAGGTTCCATCCCCCAAGGGTTCACAAGCCAAAGCCCCACTGTCCTACGAAGAAAGAGCCCCCCACCCCTCTGGGTGCCTGTGTCCATTCCACACTGATTGGAGTCATTGTGTTCATCCGATGGATTTTAGGGTGTAACAGAGATATTAGTGGGCAAGCCCTGAATGGGAGCAGTCACCCCACCTCCCCCCTTCCTCTAAAAGGACTGTTTCTGGAACTCACGTCTTCACTGTCACTTCCTCTGAAGGCATCCTCTGGCACTGGCGCCTTCTCCCGGAGGTTCTGCTCCTCTAGCAGCAGCTCATCCAGCCACAGGAGTTCCTGCTCTGAGAAGACCCACTCCAGGGCCTTCCGGACCCCCGCCAGGCCCAGCAGCTGCAGCAACAGAAACGACCGAAAGTCCAGGGTTGTAGCTCTAGTAGCAGGGATACTTAGCAACAGTAAGGTAGCTGGGACATTTCATTGGATACGCATTGTGTATCATTTCACTAACTGCTAACCAAAGCCTACGTGATAGATATGATTATGTTCATTGTATGGAGAAGGAAACTGAGGCCCATCCCAGAGTATCTCAGATCAGCTGGACAGGACAATCCTCCTGTAAAGAAGCCCCTGACTCTTAACTCCTTTTTTTTTTTTTTAAATTCTTTGGATCACACCCCAGCCATGCTCAGGGGTTACTCCTGGCTCTGTGCTCAGGAGGTACTTGGGGGACCACATAGGTTACCAAGAATCAGGTTGGCTGTGTGCAAGGCAAACACCCTACCCGCTCAGGCCCCTTAACTCCTTTGGTGAACAAAACAATACCCAGAAGTCGCCCATGTTAGCATCTCCCTGAGTAAGGCAAGTGCCCCCAGAGCCCCTCCCAGGGCCCACCCTTCTTCTGGGCTCTGTATCCCCCTTTGCAGTTGATGGGCTGCAAGAGATTGGAACGGACTTGAACAGGTTATCTGGGGACCAGCCCCTCTGGAGACAACCCCCCCCCCCCCCCGACTCTCTCCCTTTGACCTAGGAATCCCTGCCAGAGATGTGTGTGTGGGGGGGGAGGTGCTTGTTCCTCTTGGGGTAGGGGGCGCTTAGTTATGCTGTGCTGGTCAGTCTCCCAGGACACAGCCCACCCATGCCCCCAAGTCACCACAAGGGGGAAGACGATGGCCGCGGGCGTGGATTTGACAATCCACAGCACAGCCAGGCAGGCCAGCTGGATGGCCGTGAAGAGGTGCACCCGGCTCAGAGGCACGTGTCGCAGGAACAGGAGGTCTGGCTGGTGTTTGGCCGGCATCAGCAAGAGTTGCACCCTCTTTGTGAACTGCGGAAGAGGGGTACAGGAAAGCTGGTACTTGGTCACTGGCAAGGGTCACCTGTCAGCTTCCCAAGACTGGCATGGGGCGAAAGGGTATAGAGGAGGCTCCGGCGGCCCTGCCCATCCAGAGCATGGCCCATCCGGAGTCCTGGGGCCAGGGAGAGGCAAGGAAAACAGGCTGGAGGAGGCTAGCGAGGGTAGGTGCAGTGCCAGAAAGGAGGATTATTTCTGTTGGTGGATTGGAATCACCTGGTGGTCACGCTGAGCTCACCTGGATGCCGCTCATGGCTGCCACCCCCATGTACAGGAAGATGCCATAGAGCACCGGCATTGGGATGAACTAGAGTGAGAAACAAAGGAGTCGACCTCTGCCAGCTGCCCAGATGCGCCCCTGCCTGCCCACTCCCGGCTCCTGCACCTGCCCGGCTCATTCCAGGCAGTTCTGCACTGTACATGCCTGATCTCATCCAGTCTTCCCTCCAGCCTGGAAGCCCCTTCTATTACTGTATCCCTGACTGATAGGGAAACTGGATCTTGGAAAGGCAGGTCTGTCTGTTCTATAGCCCCCTCTCCCATCTCCCCACACCCCGCGCATGTCTCTCAGGGCCCTTCCTGCCTGTGTTTTGCTATTCCCTCCACCTGCAGTGCTCTTCCCAAACTCCCTCTCTGCTCGCGCCCCCCACACCTCCCCTGTATCCCCAGGAAGGCCTTCCTGCCCCTGCAGTGTCCAGTGGACCCCAGCACTCTTGATCACCTTACCTGCTCTTATTTTAGGGATTTGGTCAGGGAGCCATTCCCACTGCTCTGCTCTAGGCTCACTCCTCGCAGTGCTCAGGGTACCCTGTGCAGTGCTAGGGATCAAACCACAGGTGGCCACATGCAAGGCAAGTGCTTTACCCCCTGTACTGACTCTCCAGCCCCAGCCCCCTTATTTTAATAAGGGTGACCCTTGCAGAGCTCTGGGCCTCATAGGCTGCACTTGTTGATGCTCTACAATATGTGTTTAGGCACGGGGATGCTTGGGGGCCATCAGTGTCACACCCAGTGGAGCTCAGGGCTTCACGGTGCCAGAGATTAACTTTAAGGTCTTGTGCATGCCAGACACATGGCTTACCACTTCAGCTCTCTCCCTGGCCCCTTTTCCCTTTTCACTTTTTCCTCATACACATCTTCACACACTGGTTATCCTATTGCTTGAGTTTTTGTGTAAACCTGTCTCCTCTCACCAGGATGGAAGGATGTGATTGATCTCTGAGGCCCCACTAGTCCCTGGTAGGGTGCTTGCTTTATGCTCAGTAAATACCTGCTGAATGAGAGTCGCTTCATTAGCAAGTGGCTGAGCCGGTCTATCTGGCTCCCGCCATGCTCACTCTCACCAGCCTCCCTGACCTTTCCCTCTCCTGGCCACCTCCCGGGCCCCTTCCGCACTTCTTGCTCTGCTGTCCTGGCTCATTGAACCTCTCTGCTGGCTCTTGTCACTCAATTTTGGCGTGTGTGTGTGTGTGTGTGTGTGTGTGTGTGTGTGTGTGCATGCATGTGATGTGTGTGTTTGTGTGAGTGTACATATACGTGTGCATATGTATGAGTGTGTGTGAGTGTGTGTGTGTGTGCGCGCGTGCTTTGCTGATGGGCTTGGATCCTTGCTCCCTTTCAAAACTCCCCTTCGGCGGCATTGGTGGTATAGTGGTGAGTATAGCTGCTTTCCAATACTCCTCCCCTTGCCCTACTCCCTCCATCTCCCAATACCTAGGCATAGCAGGGATTTCAGAAAACTCGGTGAGGGAAAATGAAGGGGTTTTGCCTCTGATGAGATGTTCACACACTTTGTTCAGGCCTTATGGAGGCTGGAGCTAGGATAGTGCTTGGACACTCAGGATGGTAGCCAACTCCCCCTGCTCCTCGGCCAGAAAGCCCATGGGGTAAGAGTTGGGTTTTTCTGATTTGAGAAGCTGACTGTCTTGGGGGATGGGGGAGGGCGGTGTGATCTCTTCCCTGAGCTCTTTAGTTCCTCAAAAAGTTCAGATGATTCTGCTTGCTTGTTTGTTTTTGTTTTGGGGTCACACCCCGTCAATGCTTAGAGGCTACTCCTGGCTGTGTACCAGAATTACTCCTGGCAGTGCTCAGGGGACTATAGGGATGCTGGGGATTACAGCATCAGGATTGAATCATGCCGATTCAGCCACATGCTAGGCAAGCAACCCTACCGCTGTACTATCTCTCCAGCCCTAGTTCAGACAATTCTGGGGATTCGTGACTGATGAGACAGTGTGGAGCGGAGCTCACACAGTCTCCAGGCGCAGGGAGGGGTCAGTCAGGTCAGCTCCTGGTCTGCTGCTGGTACTGCCCAGCCCTGCCCCAGGCAAAGTTACCTTGAGCACAGGTGCCAGGAAGATTGAGATGCCCGTGAGGATGAATACGACCAGACCTGTCAGCCTCTGCTCCCTGTGGGGAATGGAGGAGATGGCCAGGGGTCAGGCCTAGCTGCAGTGAATCCCGGGGTTCACTAGCCAGCCATCACCACAGACCTGTAGGAAGTAGGGAGCCCACAGTCACCTGTTGAAGGTTAGCTTGCTGTGGAAAATGGACGGAGAGAAAGGACCAACTCAAACTCATAGCTGTTCTTCGCTTTCTGTGTTTTGGTTTTGGGGCCACACCCAGCAGTGTTCAGTGGGGCAGGGAACTGGGGTCTCTCTCTCGCTCTCTCTTAAATTTAATCTATTGGGAAAAGGAGCAGAAAGCAAGAAGGAAAGTGCCTTCCAAAGAGGGAGGCTGGGGTTGGGGGGTGGGGCATTGGGGGATGGTCGTAGGAAAACAAGGAACATTGGTGGTGGGAAATGTACACTGGTGGAGGGATGGGTGCTGGATCATTGTATGACTAAAACCCAATTATGAACAGCTTTGTAATGGTCTATCTCACGAATATCCAATAAAAAAATATTTTTAAAGTAATGCTGAGTTCATGCCCAATTCAATCTGCTTCATCAATGGCTGAATAAATAGTAGTACTCCTACATTAAAAAAAATAAATCTAATCTTTTGGTGTAACATGAGCAAGCTTAACACTGTCGTAGAGTCATTTCACCATTTCCTTAGTTGGTTGCACATACTCTCCACGGTCAGGTGTGTTCCCAACAGGTACAGAAGTGAGCTGGTGGTGGGTCCTTTGTACGTTTATGAGGTGCTTCCACGTTGAGCAGGGATGATTAGGGGTGCCCCACCCTGGCCCAGCCGTGTCTGCCTCTGTCCTTCCATTCAGTTCCGGGCTGACAGAGGACTGAGATGGTCTGACTCATGGGGCCCAGAGCCTCCTCTACCCCACCAGTGCCTACAGGCAGCGAGGGGCCCTCCAGAGCTTAGAGTTTAAGCTGCACCCACACACCTCAGCCCGGGACCCCACCAACCCGCCTTGCTGACCACCACCAGCTCCTGACCACTGGCCGTACCTGATCCCCAGGAAGATGGGTGGCTCCCCTGGGACACAGGCTCTGCTCTCTCTCCGGAGACTGTCCATGTGGGCCAGGGAGATGACAGTGGCCGACACGTACCAGGGCAGCCCCAGCACGGATGTGAGCAGCATCAACACCGCCACGCAGAGGAGGTCCAGGTGGAAGCCGGCTCCCTTCTGGGGGGACCACGGTGGCACCATGAGGGGCAGCCAGCCCAGAGCCAGGGCAGGAGCTGCGGAGCCTTGGTGCCCCCCTGGAGCTTCTGTTCCCCGTGGGTTGGGGTCCCTGACAGGCTTACCTGAAGCCGGTACTCAGAGCGGTTGAGGATGACCGCCGTGATCTGTTGGTCCATGAAGATGAGGATGGACAGCAGGAGAGCTGGCAGTGCGGCCGCCACACTCAGCCACCAGGGGTTGGCTCCAAAAGGTGACACCAGCCAGCCTCGCCCAGGGAGTGTGGGCTGGGGGAGGTCCGGGGACAGGTGGGTGGGGGTCTCCCAAGAGTACATCTCCAGTACACCCCAGATTTAGTATTATTCTGCCCACCCCAGACACAGGGCAGCATGTGGGAGCTTGTGCTGCCTCATTGGTTCGAAGCTTCCTGAGCCTTCAAAGCTGGAGGAGGAAGAGGGGAAGCAGCCCGGGGAAGGGGGGCTGGGCCTGGAGTTTGGGACACAGCACTTTGGGTCTCCTAGAGGAAGCGGCGGGCGGGTAAGGCCTGCCCACACGCGTGAACGGAACCGTCTTTCCCCGTGTACCCCCACTCAGGGTGGGGCCACTCAGGTTGCAACCTGCCCGGATCTGAGGCCCAACAGGCAGGACTGGGTGCGGCTGCGTCTGCTCTCATTACAAGCGTCTGTGCGAGGAGGAGGGGCGGAGGAGAGGGGGATCCCTAGTTGGCAGAGTCTCTGACTGCCCTAGGTGGAGTTTGGAGGCGGCAGTGGGGGGGGGGCGGGGGGGGCACTCCAGACGCAGGCTAGGTTCTGAGCTTTGTTGTATCAGAGCAGGCAGAGAAAAAAGGGGGCTGCGGAGGGGCGGGGCCTACCAGGGTCGGCAGCCCCTTGGGGACATGGGGATGGTGGCAAACATGGTTGAGGTCTTGCCAAGTGCCAGTCCCATTGTGAAACACGTTTCCCCCTGTGATCTGCTGTTTCTCATTTCCATTTTACAGACAAAGAAACAGGCTCAGAAACCTGAGTTCCCTTGGGACCAGGGCAATAGTATAGCGGTTAGGGTGTTTACCTGACCCAGGTTCGATTCTGGCTGGGAATTACACCACCAGGGGTTTTTCCTGAGTGGAGAGCCAGGAGAACCCCTGACATGGTCAGGTGTAATCCAAAAAGCCAAAAAGAAGGTTCCCTTGTTGAAGATCAAACAGTAGGGAGTGGCAGAAAAGGGCACAAAGCCAAACTGGCCTATCAGTGCCTTTGGGGGTAACACCCCACAGTGCTCGGGATGACTCCTGGCTCTGTGCTCAGGAATCACTCCAGATGGGTTCAGGAGACAATATGGGGTGATAGGGATGAAACCCAGGGACAACATGCAAGGCAAGTGCCCTAACTGCTGTACTAACACTCCACCCATCCCCAACCCCTATGCGGTATTTTAACCCTGTCCCTGCCAGAATAGCTCCAGCTGGTTCTCACCCAGTGCCAGGATGGCACCTCCTGACCCTCACAGTTCTGTGCGCCCATTGGTATCACTCATCTTTCCCAAATGGGAAATGGCAGATCCATGGAGAAGATTTCTGCCTGTTCCTCCTCCAGGGTCCCAATTGCTGACCCCCTGTGTCCCAGCTCTTACCTTGAACTCACGGGGCACCATGAGCTTCGGCGTGGCCAGGCCCAGGAGGGCATCGAGGCCGCAGCCCAGAAGGATGGCCAAGATGGAGGAGAAGTCGCCCAGAACCTTGCGTACCTGGTCCCCAGTGGACATTCACTCAGGTCCTGGCTCCAGATCCCGTTCCCCGGTGGACAGGGTCCAAGGGGCTTCTCCCCCACCCTCTCCTGCAGCAAGGCAGTGGCACTCACCATGGATGGGAAGAAGCGGCTGGACTTGATGTGCTGGAGAGCCGTGGCCGAAAGGAAGGCAGTGAGGAAGAGGAGCAGGGAGAAGAAGGCGATGTCTGGAGCCGTGTGGCAGCCGGGCCCACGAGGACGACCACCTCGCTGGGTGCACTCAGATGGTGGCATCAAGGACACGTTGACCAGGCCTAGGTCCTGTTCAGGGATGCCGGGGTGAGGTTACGCCAGAGTAAACCTCCTGCTCCCTGGGACCCACCCTAGGGGACAGGGACTCAGCAGCTAGGAAAATCCAGAATAGGTCTCCGTTACCACCAACAGCGGGGCCTTAAGACCCTCGAGTATGCCCCCAGCCTAGGGGTGGGAAGTGGCAGGAGCCACTGTCTTCTCTGGCCTCTGCCCGCCCATTCTTTCCCGGAACCAGCAGCACCTCACCAGGCTTAGCTTGTCTTCTCTGTCTTCGGGTCTTGGCATTGTCCATTGAGATTCATTTCCTGCCAAGCAGAGAATTAAGCGGTGGGTCCTCCCTGGGAACCTTTTCCAGAACCGCATCCCACGGTTCCTGATGAAGGAGTGAGTGTTTTAGCTCTGCCTCATCTGCCTGCTGACTTCAATCCTGCCAGGTGTGTGCTCCCCAAATTCCCTGCCCGCCTCTGTCCCTGGCCCACCTATCACAGGGCTGGCCAGAGCCGATGCCCAACAAATATTCACCCTGTAACCAAACCTGCACATTTGTGTTTCCACCAAGAACCCCTGTTTCTCTCCAACCAGGGAGTTTAGACTCCAGGAAGAGCAGAGATCTGACTGGGCCATTTGGGAGAAGCTGGCCTGCCTGACCTTGCTCCCCCAAACCCCCACCTTAGGAGTAAGTGATGTGCTTGGTGGCTGCACTGAGCAAGACCAGCCCTTTCCCATGAGGTTGTGGCTGCGTGTATAAGTCCACTTCCCAGAGGAATGAGTAACCACATTCTTCTAGAAGCATCACCGGAAATACACTGGTAACAAACTTCCTCTGCTGTCTTCTCAAGTTGATTCAGAACCAGGATGGGGGACCAGAGCAATAGAACAGCAGGTAAGGTTTCTGCCTTCCATGCGGCCAACCCAGGTTCGATCCCTGGTATCCCATATGATCCCCCAAGCACTGCCAGGAGTAATTCCAGAGTGCAGAGCCAGGAGCAACTCCTGAGCATTGCTGGGTGTGACCCAAAAAGCAAAAAACAAAACAAAACAAAAAAATAGACAAACAAAAAAACAAACCCAGGGAGTAGAGAAGCACTGCTGGGTTTGGGTGGTGAAGTACTCAGCAATTTTTTTGGGGGGATGAGAGCTTCTCAAACATGCTTCAGGGGACCCTGGGTCACTCCTAGCCATGCATGGCCAACTGGACCTGGAAATTCTGGGGGCCACCAGGGCCCCCCTGACAGTGTTAGTATCAGGTTCTGGAGTTCCAGCTCAAGTCCTCGCATATGCCAGGTATGTACCTTTGACCACTGAACTAGGGGGACAGCCAGGGGACAGCCCCATCCCCACTGGCATGCTCCCCATCCTGCCAGATTTCCTTTCCCTCTCCTACCTCCTGGGTCTGAGTACTGGCAGAGGCAGCCATAGGCGGGAGTGCCCGATGTCTGGATGGGGTAGGCCTGGGCCAGGCTCAGCATTTTGCCCACGGCGTCATAGATGAAGATGAGGCTGATGAGGGCACAGAAGCCTTCCTCGGTGAAGCGGGTGAAATAGCGCACCAGCACGCTGGCCTCTGTGGCCACCAGTGCCAGGCAGAAGGTGGCCACCCAGATGCCCACCCACAGGCGAAAAGGCAGGTAGTCCAGGCCATAATCTCTGCGGGGTCGGGATGGGGGGACAGGTAGGCTCTGCAGGGCTGTTCCGCACCCAACCTAACCAGGCTGCCTGGAGTCAGTATATTCCCCCTCCCTCCTGAGGGTACCCCCAGCCCAGGGGCTGGGACAGGGTGGGGGTGGGGGAGTTTCACCTGCTGAAGGAGAAGAGGAGGCGCTCGAACACCAGCACTGGCCCCGTGCTGCTGAGGATAGTCAGGGGCTGGCCGGCCAGCAGGCAGAAGGCTGCTCCAGCCACTGCCGTGCCCAGGAAACTTTCCAGCAGCCCCTAAAGTGACAGGAGCTTAGCCCAGAACCCCAAGCGTGGGGAATGCCACCTCTGTCCATCAGAGTTCCAGAAAGGGCTTTATATTTGGCAAAGCTTGTGCCCACCTCACCCACCTGGGCACGGTCGGTGGCTTCTCCCAGCAGCCCGCCGAAGGTGATAGCATTAGTGACCGTAGCCAGGTAAATGTAGAGCACTGCTGAAAGGCACTGGGGGTGCAGGGCGTCCAAGAAATCGCTGGGGTACCACGGGGCCTTTCGACGCACGTCCTGGACAAGGCCCCCGAAGAGTCTCCCGCCCGAGCATCGTCAGTGATCCAGGGGCCCAGAGCCGCCCCCAGCCCCGGGGGCCACCACAGAGAGCACCCAGCCTTGGCTCTGCGTGTCTCCTCCAGGTGGGCCCCCACCCCCAGGAACTCCGCGCCGCTGTCCTGCCCGCTCCTCACCTGCCTGTGCGCTGCAGCTCCTGGCCGTGCCTGTCCGCTGACGCCCCACGCCGGGCAGCGGTGCCCTTGGTCTCCCGCAGTTGCGGGGGTAGCCTGAGCAGAAAGGAGGCCCGGGTTGGCTGAGGAGTCCGCAGCCCTCGGGTCTCGCGGCGCCCCCTGGCGGCGGCTCGCGGCTCTGCCTCCGGACTCGGAGGAGAAGATAAGTCTCCGCCCCTTTCCCAGCCGGGTCTCCTCGTCAAGGGGCCCCAGGCCTGTGGAGAGTCTCTATGGGATGATGACTCCCTAGCTACCTTTTGTGCAGACATTTAGGCGGGGGAAGTCGAGCTGTCGGGTCCCACCGACCTGGGGGGAGTACCGTCACCTCCTCCAAGAAGGCATCCAGGGCAGCTAGCAGGTCGCAAAGGCTGCTGGCCCGGCGAACTGACCACTGAAATTGCTGGGGACAGAGACACAGACCATAAGTAAATGCAGATCTGGCCCCGCATTGGCATTTTCAGAGACTCAATATGCAAAGATGCTTTTGGAGGGTCCATCCCCTGGCCATGCTGTGTCCTAACTGCGCAGGGGAAGTGGCTACGGAGGGCGGGACACTTCAGTCCCTGACCACAGATGGACACCCTCCCTGCCCCCACACGGACTCACTGGGTCGCTGAGGAGGACAGCAGCTGCCCGGCCCATCTCATGGTAGCCCTTGGCCTGTTTGGGGATGCCAAGGAGGAGGCAGAAAAACCTGCAAAAAGCACCAGGTTGGGTAGGGGTGGGATGGGGTAAGGGGCGACATCCCTCAGATAATCCCAGCCCCGCATCAACATCTCCAAAACCCCTCCACACACAGACCCAGGCCTCTAGCGCGTCCCCCACTTGCAGAGAACTGGTTCCCACTAACACCTGGGGACCCCTGAGCCCCATAGCACCACAGCCTCACCTGCAGGGGAGCGGCACCTCCATAATGGCCTCCAGCACTGCAGGCTCCCGCAAGCGCGCGAAGACAGCCAGCGGCTGCGCCAGGAAGCCCAGCGCTCCTGCCAGCACGACCCCGGCCTCAGTCCCGAGGGGCAGCACCTGCCGTAGGGGACTGCAGCGCTGGGTGGGTTCAAGGAGACACAGGATGAGAAAGATGGACAGGGAGAGCTGCCTTGGGTGGCACCCCCTGGTTCTCTGGGGGCCCTCTATTGGCAGGGCGGCAGTCAGGTCTGACACTTTGACTTGTTCTGGGGTTGGGGGGACTGTGGGTCCCTGAGCCCCCTTCACCCCCCAGCTCTGCCCAAGAAAAGACGTCACACCTGTTTCTTCTGGGGCTCTTCCTCGTCCCCTGGAACACCTCTTGAGCGGGCAAATCCTTCAAAACAGGGTTATGGGGTGGCTGAGAGCCTGGGCTTTCGGGCAGGACCCCCAGGGCTCCCTCACCCACTTTGTCACTGAGTCACAGTGAATGTTTCAGCTCGCCTTTTCCTTCTCTGGGCCTCACTTTTCTCCTCACTGAAATGGGTTAAATGAAGGGTCTGCCTGACCAGCAGTCTAGCAGCACCAGGCCCACAGCCAGCGCGGCCCGCAGCTTCTGGGAGGTGGGTGGGCGTGAGGGTTGAAGGAATGACTATGGGCAGCCGAGCACCCCCTACCCAGGTCGCTCTCTCCTCCTGCACACCCCTAGCCCTCTCTCCCTGCATCCTGCAGGCTCTGGGCTACCCCCCAGGGAAGGTGCAGGGGAACCGGGCCCTCCTGCCCTGGGAGTGGGGTGCTCACCTGGGCAGCGCCTGGTGCCTGGGGTCTGGCCGCCATGCAGGGGTCTCTGCAGCAGCAGCGCCTGCAGCCGTTCCCGCTGCTCCGGGCTCAGCCATTCCACCGCACTCACCTGCTCTAGAGAACAGTGGCCGCCCTGCCATGAGCTCTTTCTCCCTCATGCCCTTCCTCTCCCTGCGGGTTGTCTTGGGGGTGAGCAAACCTCAGCTCCTCAACTGTTTCTCAGCTCCCCCGCCCCCTGGAGCTGGGATATTCATTCCCTAGAATGGTGTGCATTCTGGAAAATTCCAGAACTTTAGGAATCACTGATCAGGCCCTCCCCACAAAAGGTCCCGCATACCCACAAGCTCCAGGAGACTCTGAGCTGGGCAATCTAGCAGAACCAAGCCCGTAGCCAGCGCGGACCGCAGCTTCTGGAGTCCAGGCAGTGTCACGGTGGGCACGTGGGGGGCGCTCCAGCGACCCGCACCCACCTCCAGCTTCTCTTCAAATACCACCCACCTGCAGAGGGAGAGAGGTGCACAGGGCTACTGGGGGTCCACTCTCGGGGTCCTGCGGACCCTCCTCCACCTCCCTACCCAGCCAAGCCGAGTGTGTTGGGGACCTGACTGTTGATGGAGACTGTTCTGAGCAGCACAGAGGGAGAGGTTTGAAGTGGGGGCACAGTAAGGAGAGTCTGAGGGTTCTGGGAGCATTCATCTCTGGGGGAGGAGTTGGGAGTCCTGGAAGAGATGGAGCAGGCTCCCCACTGGCCAATGTTCCCCTCACCTGCCTGTCTGTCTCCAGCCCAGGGCCTGCGGCCTGCCCAGCAACTCGTTCAGCTGGACGAAGAGCAGAGGATCCACCACTTCTCTGCAGTCTGTGTCCGAGGGGTCATCAGGGCTGGGGTTAGCACCACCATTCTGCTCTCCTGAGGGCGCATTTTCACAGGAACTGGAGACATCCAGCTCGTCCTGGCCTGGCAGCTTCATCTTGGGGTGTCTCACACGGCCTCACAGGGCGCAGTTCTGGGGTCATGGCCCTCGGCGGCAGCATTTATAACCACCGCCCCCGTCCACCCCCTTCTCCAACATAGCACAAACAGCCAGCATGACCTGCTGAGGCCGGAGCCAGCCAGTCCCCTTGGCCCCTGCTTGCTTTTGCCATCCCCTGCTGGCCTCAGGGCGCCTGCCAGGGGAGGCTGACCCCTCCCAGACTTTCCAGAAATGCCCAACTTGGGGTCAAAGTGGGACCTCATTGTGTTTTGTGTAAATAAAAAGGAGTAAGTCTCTGGCAGGGGTCTGAGGACTCCCACCCTGGGGTATGCTGCTCCCCACTGTATCAAATACAAACACCAAATACCTTGGTCTGTTTGGGGTGTCACCAACACACCCCGAGGATGGAGCACTAATTAGTAACTGAGTCCGGGGAAGCCAGCAGTGACAGCAGCAGGAGAACTGCCCAGTGCAAGCACTGGAGAAGAAAAATGGAGAGTTCTGTCCCCGAAGCCTCAGGCTTACATTCCTTTGTCCGAGATAACTGCAATCTCCTCAGTGTAGCTGTGAACTTGGGTCTGACCCTCTCATTCAGTCCTGAAGATAAGTATCACTCAGGGAATGCATGGGAAGGGGCTCCTAGAGTTAAGTGAGCAAAGAAAGCGGGGTCCAATAGCAGGCTCTGTGACTCTGCCTTTAAAAGAGTCGGGGGAGAGAGAGAGCAAGAAAGGAGAAATGTCTACCATAGAGGCAGGCTGGGGTGGGGGCGGGAGGGAAACGGAGGACATGGGTGGTAGGAACCATGCACTGGTGAAGGGATGGGAGTTGGAACATTGTATAACTGAAATCCAATCTTGAATTACTTTGTGTCTGTGTATCTCATGGTGATTCAGCAACAAAAATAATTAATAAAATAAAATTTGTTTGGGGTCTCCTATACCCTCACCTCTAACACCATGCCCCATCCAAGTTGCCATTATTAAGGTGCCGGGGACGGAACTAGGGTCAGCAAGTGTGCAAGGTAAGTACCTACCCACTGTATAATCTCTCCGTCCTCTCAATGGCCTTTTTTTTTCTTTTTTGGGTCACATCCAGCGATGCTCAGGGGTTATTTCTGGCTCTGCACTCAGGAACTACTCCTAGAGGTGCTTGGGGGACCATATGGGATGCCGGGTATTGAACCCCAGTTGACTGCATGCAAGGCAACCACCCTACCCGCTGTACTATAGCTCTGGCCCCTCAATGTCTTTCTAACCGCCCCGCTTCTACTCTTCTCGCCTTGGTCTTTCTCCCTAGGAGAAAACCCGAGTGCGCTGGTGTTTCCCTCTCTCAAAAACCACCAGAACTCTCCCTTAGTTACTCCTCAGCGAGAGAGTTGTCTGACCCTGATCCCACCTCATCACCTCCTCCTCTTTCCAGCCTCCCAGGCCCTGGGCTGTGGATGCAAAGGCTGCACCTGCCTGGAAATCTCCATCTCAGACACTGCTCGCCTTGCTTTTCTTTTCAGTACTAAGTTCTCCATCACGTCTCCATTACATTGTCTTCCTAGCAAAGATCACTGCTAGTAACTGCCGCTTTATCTTTGTTTATTGTTTAATCGCCTGCTCCTCCACTCTCACGCACTGGAATGTACCGTCCACGAAGCAGCAATCATTTTATCTCACGTCTTCCCCGCGGTCCCCCGGGAACTGGTGGCGCTCAATAAATACTTGCTGGATGAGCGCATGGAAAGGGCGGGGCGGGGGCGGGGGCGAGCAACTCGCCCCCCATGACCACATGGGGGCGCTGTTTCCCGCCGGCCGGCTAGCTGGGGCCGCGTCTCTAGCCAAGAGGCAGCGTGGCAGGATGCGTCCCCCGCCCGCCTTCTTATCGTGGGCCAGTGCGGATTGGACAGGAGGAAAGACAGGGCCAATCAGGCTTTTCTGAACGCAGAATGAACCTCCCAATGATAGATACCTGGTACCCCTGGAACCGGGTTTCCCCACAGGCCCCAGGGCTGAGCTAAGGTTCCTCTGGAGTGTGGGGAGCATCAGGTTAGGAATTAGAGCGGTGAGTCACACTATTACCAGTTAGGAACACTGTGCCGAGTCGGGGGATGGGGAGGTGGGGTGGGAAGTTGTTTCCAGTCCCAGGAGAAATAGAAACTGGCCTAAGGGCTGAGAGGGTTACAGAAACTGTGACCACCGACTTCAAGAATGCAGTTCTGGAAATAATCACTGCTTGGGGACAAGTGTCTCAAGGGGACAGGAGCATGGACTGGCCTCACCCACTCACCCTTCTTTTCCATCACCTCTCCTGTCAAAGTCTACAGGGTCTAACTCTTTGGGTCTCATCTATCCTGTGGTGCCCCATCTATGCCTCCAGGCCTCACCAGCCCACACTGGCTTCGTTGGGGAGGCCTCAGAGGGACTGAGTGAATTGTGTGACACTGGCAGATACACGGGGCCAGGAGTTCCAGGACAGGCTCTGCTCTGGCTTCAGTGGAGGCGGTTTGGTGACCTTGATCAAAGACCTTCCACTGTCACAGCCTGAGTTCTGAAGTGTGTACTGAGATGATGGTGGCCATGGGGGAAGGGACCCATGTCAGGGACACGCTGCTTGGGTGTAAATCCAGGCCTTGAGACTTTCTAGCAAGTGCAGAGAGATTTTTTTCTCTGCAGGGCATGAGGTTTTTTTTGTTTGTTAGTTTTTTTTTTTTTCTTTTTGGGTCACACCCAGCGATGTTCAGGGGTTATTCCTGGCTCTGAACTCAGGAATTATTCCTGGTGGTGCTTGGGAGACCATATGGGATACTGGGGATTGAACCTAGGTCGTCCGCGTGCAAGGCAAATGCCCTACCCACTGTGCTATCACTCCGGCCCCTTGAGTTTTTTTTTAATCATTAGAAAGAGAATAAGAAAAGTACTCTTCCATAGACTGAATTAAATATAATGATGCATGTGAGATAGAGCCATAGAAAACACAAGAGAGGGACGCTGTTAGGATGATATATAGTCATAACTTAGTACAAGCATGATGGATGGAGTACAGAACCCCACTTAGATGCCAAAATCTGAGGATGTTCAAGTTCCTTGTGTGTGTGTGTGTGTGTGTGTGCGTGTGTGTGTTAAACAGTATAGTATGTACATATTTAAAGTATGTACAAATTTAAACACTGTCTCTCACATATTCCACTTACCTCTCGAATACTTATAATACCTTCTATAATGCAAAGGCTATGTAAACTGTTGTTATACTATGGGAGGGTTTTTTTTTGGGGGGGGTGTTCAGGGCTTACTCCTGGCTCTGAATTGAGGGATCATTCCTGGCGGGGTTGTGGGCCAGGGAGAAAATCTGGGTCCGCTACATGCAAGGAAAGCACCATAAGTCCTGCACTATCTCCCTGGTCCCTGTGGGTGGGAGTTTAAAATCATTCCCGCCCATCCTTTCCTTATTACTGATGTGGTGACTAGAAGGGTTGCATTTTCATCTGGCCGCGTTGCTCATACATGCAGCTTCAGTACTTGAGATTTGCAGACATTCCTTTATGTAGCTTCGGTGTGAGGGCTGCTTGTGGCTGTGCTGGGGGAAGTTGATCCCAGTGGTGTTTGGGGTACCATGTAGTGCTAAGAATGGAACCAGGGCCTCGCACATGCAAGGTATGGCTTGACCACTGCTTCCGTGGTGGTACTCGCACTCCTGGTGGAAACACATGGATCATGGCTGTGGTGCTCACTGGGGGGCACTGTATTGCTCATGCATGCCCACCAGAGGTCCCACTTCCAGTCATGGCATATATTTTGTTGTGGTGCTTGTGGTTGTTGCACACACATTTCGTGCTGCTCACACATATCTGTGGGATGGCAGGAAAGGTCTTCTGGTGCTGGAAATGGCAGACAACAGAGCTGCCAGGACAGTGGAATATGCATGTGGAGTGCCAGGGCTTTGAACTCATAACCATACAACTTGCAATAGCAGGGGCTGTGAGCCAGTGGATCGATACTCTGGGATACTTGACTTTTTTTAATTTTATTTTTGTTTTGGTTTTTGTTGTTGTTTGTTTCTCTTGCCAGAGATTGAATCTGTTCAAGGCATGTGCTCTACCACTGAACTATATCCCCTTAATCCTTGGTTTTCTTATCTATAAAATGGGGATAAGAGATACCACCTTCTTCGTAGGACTATTGTAGGAAATAAATGAGATCATTAAAAGTGCCTAAGCCCTATTGAACGCGCATAGATTTTAAGATTTTTTAGGGGTCATACTTGGCGATGCTCAGAAGTTATTCCTGGCTCTGCCCTCAGGGATTATCCTGCGGAACCATACAGGACACCGGGGATTGTACCTGGGTCAGCTTCCAGCAAGGCAAGTGCCCTACTTGCTGTTCTAACACTCCAGCCCCTAAGGGTTTTTTTTGGGGGGGGAGGGAAATAAATGTCTTGAAAAGTTATTCAAAATATATAAACAGATTATATTTATTCTAGAAAACAGAAAATACCCATAAGAATAAAATCTCTCAAAATAATGTTTTTATAATGCAATGCCCTTACCACAAATTTGGAATACATTCTATTATTCCTGCTTTACTGTGCAAACACCGAGATTCAGAAAAATTAAGGGGGGGAGGGCAGAGCACCTCAATTGTGTGAGCACCACAATCAAGCCTCTGAGCCTCCACTCAGAGATCGAGCCTGACACACGACCGAGAGCTGAGACCTATGGCCAGTATGGGTGGGACCCCCCAGACATCACAGCAACAATGAAAGAAGGGAAGGGGAATGTGGAGAAATTGTCACTGTCACTGTCCTCCCATTGTTCATCGATTTGCTCAAGCGGGCCCAGTAACATCTCCATTGTGAGACTTCTTGTTACTGTGTTTGGCATATCGAAGTCACGAGTAGCTTGCCAGGCTTTGCCGTGCTGGCGAGATACTCTCGGTAGCTTGCCGGGCTCTCAGAGAGGGGCGGAGGAATCAAACTCGGGTCAGCCATGTTGGCCGCTTGCAAGGCAAACACCTTACCCACTGTGCTATCGCTCCAGCCCAGGGGAAAAATTAAAAAACAAAACAAAACAAAAAAATACAGGAAAACAAAAGCCTGAATCGTGAGCTTCCTGGCTGTGGTGGCGGAAGCATAAATTCCACACATCAGAAGTCGGGCTGGAGCAATAGCACAGCGGGTAGGGCATTTACCTTGCACACGGCCAACCTGTATTCAATTCCTCCGTCCTTCT